ATGGATTTTTATTTTCCCAGTTTAGAGGAAAATCTCCGTTAAATCTTGATCACAAGGTGTTTCTTTTTTTTTATCGCACAGAAGTCGCCGTTAACCCGTTGAACACGGAGCCATTTCGACATATGGGCGAAATTCGTCTGACCGTGCAGGCAATATTGGACCAAACGTCGGGCGCCTTTAGGCGCTCTTAGTAGCCAAAGGGCTAAAAAGCACAAATCGATTAGTAATTTGTCTATCTCATTCGAGAGAGACGTTTAGAAGAGCATTGAAATTCCTCAGGAACTCCAGGATTGAAAAAAGAGAAAAAGAAGAAAGACAAGAAATCAGGACTCACATCTTTTCGCTTTGACTCTTCATTTTCTTTTCTTCTTCCCCTATGATAAGAGTGATAAGCAGCTTGTAAAGCTCTTCCAAAATCTTCCGGGTATACTGGAGAGCACCCGGGTGTCCTGGACGAGCGTAAACCGATTAGCAATTTGTCAATCTCCTTCGAGGAGGATGTTTAAGAAGGCAATTAGGGGAAGAATGATGAAATTCCTGAGGAGTGACCGTGTTTAAGAAGACAATGAGGAGAAGAGTGGCAAGGGCTGCCGAGCAGGTTCCCTCCAAAAAATCGGACTTTGTTTTAGTTTCTCACTTCCATATCCGTGCCGGCGCTCCTCGGCTCACGGTTGCGCTATACGTCAAGGGATCATACTAAACGATGGTAGATCAAAGGAACCGACAGAATCCAGTGACCACCTATCATAATAATTTGGCCGGCCTGCGCCCCTTTGTATTAGGATAGAAAAGCCGGCGGTCGGAAATAGCCGGCCATCTGCACTAAATTGAAGCTAAAAGGGTTCTAAAAAGATTTCACTGATTTCGCCCCGTAGCGCGCGTCGCAATCACGTAAATATTCCTTAGCGAGCCGCGCGGTCCGAGGCCCGACGGCCGCCGCCATTTTCATTTCCTTCGGCGGAAACTTCCCGAAGAACTCCGAGTCGATGCCTCATCTATTTACGTTGTTCATTCGTAAGACCTTGCAGTTTTTATGTATTGATAAATTAGCGTATGATAACGTTATTTAATACATATAATTGCCCTTTCACAAAGCTTTAAATACACTAATTTTCATTTCCTTCGGCGGAAATTTCCCGAAGAACTCCGAGTCGATGCCTCATCTATTTACGTTGTTCATTCGTAAGACCTTGCAGTTTTTATGTATTGATAAATTAGCGTATGATAACGTTATTTAATACATATAATTATCTTTTCATAAAACCTTAAAGACACATGGTATACTAATTTTCATTTTCTTCAGAGGAAACTCCGAATCGATGGCTCATCTTTTTAGGTTATCCATTCGTAAGACCTTGCAATTATAATCAATTGATAAATAAACGCATAAAATTTCTGTTGGATCATTTTATCTACATAAAAATATCCTAATGTTTATAAGTCTACAATCATGGTATATTAATTCAGTTTTAAGCCACCATGTTTATAATTTGATTGCAACCTCGATGTATTATAAGTAAAAGTGAACATTTTAAACAATCCACCTAAATGGATTATTGTAAATCGTAAATTCCGACTTAGGCGGAAACTTCACGCGGGTGTTGATTTAATTCCGGCATTAATTATTAATTATTAGTTAGGAAGTGGGAACTTATCGGATATATAGGGACGCGAGCTGTAAAATGTCGATTTCTCCGGATAATTCATTCCAAGAGTTCTTCCTTTGCGTTATGTCACTTTATTGATTATTAATTGTTAATGCGGAATTCTGTTAAGTGTCATGGCGGCGAGTCGTAAAACGCGGCTGATTTCTCCGGAAGCTTCGCCGAGGGACTAGTTAATTCTGCACTGCGTCAAATAATTAATTATTAATTACTAATTATTAGCCGGAATTCAATCGAAGAGACGACGCCAGCGGATCGCGTAATGCGCCTGATGTAAACTTCGCTGGGCGACTAGTTAATTCTGCGTTGTAAAAAATTATTAATTGAATTTATGTAATTTTGCGGTTAAGGGATAGAAGACTTCAAGGCTACCATTTTTCCGGCACGTTTCATACGAAACCACCTTAATTAATGTTTAAGCTCCTAAAGTAAACGGAAAAGAACGCACTTCCCGCGAATATCCATCATTTCGAGTAATTGTTTAATTAAGCATTGCAATTTTTTAGAAGAAATTGTTAAATTGTAAAAATTATAAAGTGCAGCTTGAGGATATCGAAGACATTTTTGGGAGGATTTCAACTCGAAGCTTTTTAATCCTGACATGTTAAATATTAAAATAATATTTTGTACCCTTCGACACGATTAAACATTGCAATCTTTTAGAAGAAATTGTTGAATGGTAAAAATTGTAAAGTGCAGCTTCAAGGCATCGAAGACATTTTTGGGAGGATTTAAACTCGAAGCTTTTTAATCCTGACGTGTTAAATATTAAAATACACTATTTCATTAAATTTTTCACTCCTGATAAGTATAATTAGTGGATAAGAAATTCCTGGGATGTATTTTGCACGCTTCGAGACGATTTTCGATCTACCGTATCCGAGAATTAGAACTCGGAAGCACTCTACCGGTGACTTGGGAAACTAATGAGCTTCTGGACCGTCCAATCAGAATGTTAATTAAGAACTACCATCCGACATGGTAATATTTTTTCCTGTGCTCCAGAGAAAGCGAACCGACGTATTCGGAGATCTGGAATTTCACTACACTGTTATATTCACCGAAGATGCCAGGTTACTTCCGTAATTATTCCATTACTCGAGGGACAGTACTTTTTAATTATGCACCCCATGGAATCAAGGACGAGGAAATTGGAAGGTAATTGTCAATTACATTTCTTGCTGTTCTGGTTCTGCGACCAATTTCTTGCTAATTAGCGGTTATCGACGTAACTTGGAAAATTGGTTGACATTTTTCCCCGTAATAATTGTTTAGGGGTAATTTTGAATCAATGCAATCGACTCGTCGTACTATGTGACAGTTTTTTTTTAAATATCGTTTTTCATCTTTGCCACGTGTATCCTTTTTTTTTTTATTCAATTCCGTTTGCCAGAATTTGCCATTTCGTTTTTAAGCCTTTCTATCGATAAATATGAGAGTACAATGAGTTATGCAGCGCTAATTAGTAGATTCGAAATGCAGTACTGCAAATTCCGTACTTTCTCCATGACGTCACAACGCAGTGATTCTCCTCGTAATGACCCTACTCCACGGGGACATTTCCTATTTACTAATCGCTTCTTTAAAAAGGTAGAAATAAAAAACCCTAGACAGGAAATCAGTTTCTCTCTAATTTCAAAAACACACGTAACGATCTTCCAATTGTTCTGAACATTTTTCTAGTCATTTTTAAATCTTTCAAATGTCAATCTGTACCCTACATTTGTTAGAGGGTGTTACTTCCACTTTTTCGCTCAATGAAACGAAATTTTGTGAAAATACAGATTTTCAAAATGTTGCAAAAGTACCGTGCGGCGAAAAGGAAACATTTATATTTTAGCACAGAAAGTTATTAGAAATCCTAAAACGCGTTCCCTAGAACGACTTTAAGGTTAGGTCGAAAAAATAAAAAATCGACGTTCGAATCAGGTTCATTTATTTCATACTACCAAAAATCGTAATTCCATATTTTAAGACGTCAAAAACTCAACCATGAAAAGAAAAATCATCATTTTACATTTAAGCACAGAAAATGATTAGAAATCCTAAAACGCGTACCCCAGCACGACTTTAAGGTTAGGTCGAATGAATAAAAAATCGACGTTTGAATCAGGTTCATTTATTTCCTATGACCAAAAATCGTGATTCTAAATTTTAAGACGTGAGAAATTCAAATGTGAAAAAAAACATAACTACATTTTAGCACAGAAAATGATTAGAAATCCTAAAACGCGTACCCCAGCACGGCTTTAAGGTTAGGTCGAAAAAATCAAAAATCGACGTTTGAATCAGGTTCATTTAATTCGTAGGACCAAAAATCGTAATTCCAAATTGCTTTAAGGTTAAGTTAGGTTAGAAAGTCGAAAGAATCAAAAATCGACATTCGAATCAGGTTCATTTAGTTCCTACGAGCAAAAATCGTAATTCCAAATTTTAAGACATCAAAAATTGAAATGTGACAAAAAAGCCATCATTTTCCATTTTAGCACAGAAAATGATTAGAAATCCTAAAACGCGTACCCCAGCACGGTCAGATAATCCCAGCCTGGCTGGGAGTAGAGCTCGTTAGCCTCGCGCGTTTGTGTCGGTGAGGTCGGAAGGGCTGATGATTGTGACGGATCGGTGATTCCGGGAGTGAGCACCACTACGTCGGAGCGCGGCGGACGTTAAATACATCTCGTAAAAGTTCCATCGAGTCGGCTTCATTTTGCGGTTCGGAAGCCCCTGTCGGAGGGCCTGGCCAGGGCTTTGGGCGTACCCCGCCGAGACCCCGCCTCCAGAGTCGGTAAGAACCGCCCCCAAGTGTGGAGGCTTTGATCTCCGCCGACAAGGACTCCCACCACGCCGGGCAGGAACCCCGGGAGGCGAAGTGGGAACTCGTAGACGGATCGGTTCACACCGTTTCGAGTCACTAGCTTGCCTGGACTGACGTTCGCGTTGGAGTCCCGGATAAATACCGGTCCAAGAGCCCTCCAGAGGCTGCGGCACCTCCAGACGGGGCACTATCCCCAGCCGTTAGCCTAACTCTGCCTGTCGAGTCGGGCATCGATCAGCAGTTTGTCTTGGGACCCGGATTCCGGGACCCAAACCCACTTGTCGGTGGCTCCGCTGATCCATGACTCACGGTAGTTGGTGTGTTGGCAGATTCGAGGTACGCAGTGAAAGTGCCGGCGTGTTTGGCGGAGACAGTACTCGGGCACAGGTATGGGGAACGTGTTATGGTATATCAAGGTGGATTAGGTGCCGTTAGGCAGCCTTGTGATTGGACGGAATACATAACAAAGTGCTGTGCTGGGACCGAAAGTTCCCCGACAAAGTGTTTCGGGTCTTTGCTTGTGCAACTCCTCGATTGACGTTGTCTTTTAACGTCTGCGGCACTTGGTGACTTTGGACTGTCATCAGCAGCAGTTTCTCTGGGTTATTAAAGGTGAATATCGCGACTGGACGGAATACCTAAAAAAGTGCGTTGAGTATGTGAAAATCCTCCATTAACGTCGTCTAACATTTGCAACACCTGGAAACTTTGGACTGTCATCAGCAGAAATGTTGTTGGCCTGATGAAGGACGTCGTGATGCCTAACAAACTCTGCTGAGTCCGAAAATTGGGCGACAAATGTGTTGAGCCTGTGAAATTCCTCGGTTAACATTCTCTTCTAACATCTGCGACACTTGATGACTGGACTGTCATCGGCAGAAGTGTCGTTAGGTTATTAAAGGTGAATGTCGTGATTGGACGGAATACCAAACAAAGTGCTGCGCCAACGGAGGCTCGAACTGAGAGTTGGACAAAGTGAGGATCATTGTATTACATCTGGATCGACTCGTACAGTTTGAGTCTCCAAAACAAAATACCCGATGTCCAGAGTACCTTGAAATTTCCTACATCTCCAGGCTCCGGACCGTCATCGGCAGATGTGTCGATAATTCTGGAGGAGATCTTGGATCTGGCCGTAATAATTACGCCAAAGTGCCGAGCATTGGACGGGAAAGTGAGGACCGATACGTCGAGTCTCCGAAATTCCATAACGGGCATGAAGCGCCTTAAGAAATTTGCATACCTCCGGGCAGCAGACCATCATCATCACCAGAAGCACCATTAACCCCGGCTCGAGTCGTTAGCCGAACATTCGCCACTAACTCGTTAGGCCTACAACCAAAGCCTACTTGTTGGGTTCATTGATCCATGATCCATGTAGATGCAGTGGCAGATATTAGGATCGCAGCGAAAGTTCAGCGGAGATAGTAGAAGACAAGAATGGAGGACGTGTTGTAAAGCGAGCTGAAGAAGACTGATACCAAAAACACTTGGTTTGTACAGTTTCCCTCCAACAATCCTGAACGGATACCTACCAAGAGCCTTCTGAGATCCACTCAACATCCGCAGACCCCAGATCATCATCAGTGGAGGTCCCACCAGCTACATTTCCAGTCCTTGGCCACACAATCGCCCGTAAGCTTATCAAACACCATTCGGCACCCAAAACCTTGTTGTGTCCATTGACCCATGTAGTTGGTGCAGTGGCAGATTAGAGGCACGTGGTGATAGTGCCAGCACATCCATCATCTGCATAGCCTAACAAGATATGGGGAACGTGTTATGGGCGATGGCTTAGGTGCCGATGAAGGAGGCCCCGTGTTTGGCGAAGAAGAGGAGGTTGGAAGTGGCTTCACGTGGGTGTCCTGACTCTGGGACAGAATGCGGTGGCGACCTGGTGTCCATAACCGATGAATGTTGACATCGAGGCAGGAATTGCGTCCCCAGTAATGATATTCCAGTGCTGATCCAGGGAAAAGGGAGATGTCCCGGCTTTCAGGAGGCTGTGATGGGTGTTCCTGAGCGGGGAATTGCCGGACTGCAAAAAGGACCCCATTAGCAGACCCCGTTCCTAATCATTCGGGTTGATAGGCTACTTTGGGGGTTGCCAAAGCCTGGTTATCGGTTCCGTCGGGTGACCGAGCGGGATTTTAAAGTGCCGGGCAGGACACACTGTGTTTACGGTGAACCGCTTACCTAGAAAAGGTGGGTTTCCCATGTGGACATTGTGGGTGGTGGCGGACAGACTGTAGCGGATTGGGTGAGGTTTTTGGGATACGTTGGGAGCTGGTATATACTTGAAAAATAATTTCTAGAAGAGTCTGCGAGCAGCTTCGTCGTCAATTAGGTCCCTTGATGTCCCCGTTGGTGACTTTGTGAGTTAAACCGAGGCATCGGTACTTGAGATTGAGTATAACGCCTGTGACAGAGTTGGGATGTTTTTTGGGTGTTGTCCAGAAAGCGTTACGGGTTATTAACAGGTCCCTAGGGATTTAAAACCCTGACGAGTCGTGGGATGTGGCTCAAGGGTCGTCGCGAGTGCTTTTAGAAAAAGGGTTTTCAAATAACGCACTTTCGTTCCTGGATTTAGGAGGGCAGGTACGAGGACTTCCTGAATTCCCCGTAGGGATAGGTTTGTGCTCGACAGCCAGGGAAAAGTAACAGTGACAGGGTCGTCTGGATGAATTAGAAGACGTTAGCTTGAACTGTTTCCGCAGGGGACTTTCGGGATTAACGGTGAAGCCGGGAAGATTTACAGTCCAGGGTAGACCATGATACATGGAATGTTCTCCCGAAGCCATGACTGATTCCCCTGGAAGACGAAGTGCCAGGCATTAGGAGAAAACTAGGAAACGCATCGCAAGGACTTTCTTTGGATCAGTCAGGGAGGTAACCGCTTCAGCCGAGAAGGTTACTCAATGCAGAAGACACCCCAGTGATGGTGATTGGCGTCCAGACAGAGGATTCGTGACGCAAGGATGAGTTACAAGGTATCCTAGGTTGTGCAGGGATCGTGCCACCAATCCCTGAGGATTTACGTCTGATCGCACAGTAGGATGTTCCTCTACCTTGGGAGGTAGAAGCTAGGACAACCTGATCAGGCAATCCGAGTCGGGCGTGGGACAGGATCCGTTGATGACTCGAGCTATCTCGAGTCACATGTGCCATAACCAGGTCGCGGAGATGACAGAGAGCCGCACGATGTCGCCGTCGACAGCATCTTCCAGCGGCACGATCTCGATCTGTCTGGGCTCCCCAAACCAGCGGCGGACCCCGTCAAGAACACCACCTCCGAGGAACCCCCAGGGCGAGGAGGATGAGATCTCTGTCGGGTGCCCCAGCCCACTGCCGCTGGTCGTGATCGCCCCCACGGCGAACGTGGAGGACTCTCGGAACTTCTCCAGAGACAGGTTCCTCGACAGACACAGCCCCAAGGGGTACCGGGACGTGCTGACCAAGGTAGACCGGTACTCCAGGAACGGGGAACGCAGACCAACCTGCGTCAACAGAGTCCCCGGGGTCCACGGGACGGAGAGCAGCGACGCGATGTCCCTGAAAGAGGACGACGACGAGGAGGAGGACGAGGAGGAGTACGAGGCAGGGACCGCGGAGGATGAGGAGTCCCAGGAGAACCCAACAGCCTCCAGAGGTGCTGACGACTACTTCAAGCCCCTCAAACGGCTAAAGATGGTGCCCATGCAGCAGTCCGACGAAGAGGAGGACCGCGACCGGGAGCAGACCGTCAGAGGAGTCAAGTCCTTCAGCATCCTGGACATCCTGTCGCACAGACCCAAGGCGAAGATCGTCAGACCCTGGGACACGGCGGAGACGGAGGCGGCGACGCATCTCAGCGACCATCGGTACCATCATCATCACCATCACCACCACGAGCTGCACCAGCAGCATCAGAATCATCAGCGGCACGTCAAGCATCACCATCGCGCCCTGCCCAAGGATTTGTCGCTGGTGGGCATGTCCCTGGCACCTATTTCCGGGCCCATGAGCGAACCTCCGCTCAGCAGCTCATCCTCCTCTGGAAGAAGCTCCGTCTCCGACTCTGGAAGCCCGGATCCCCTTGCTCATCATCACCATATGCTGCATCATGGCATTCATCCTGGACTTCATCATCCGGCTATGCAGCAGCAGTTCAAGAGGAACTCACCCCAGCAGCATGGATCCCAGGGTGGACAAAACGGAAAGAGGGCCCCTGGCCAGGGAAGTCCCCTCGACGCTCTCTTTCAAATGACTAGCAAGACTTTCGACGCCGGCGATCACAGTCAAGGTAAGTTGCCTCGGCTCTTTTTACTCCTGCTGGACTCCGCTAGGTTCACGGGGTTCGTGCTAAACGCAAGCCTCCAGATTATACTGGTTTACCCTCTTTCATCGGGACTGATGCGCCTCGGCTGACTGCTACCTATTCTGGACACTCCCACAGGGAGAAAAAGAACTCACCGACCGAGGAAATAGTTTGCTTCGTCCTAAACAAGTTCATCGAACAAGCTGAAATAAATTCTCCCTGTTCCGAAGAGACATTCCATCCAGTTTATTCCAGTTTGGCTGGGTCAGACAATTATTCTTTGATTTAAAAAAATATTTCCTAGGCTCGATGGCACTTTTTTTTTATTACTTTCCAAGATGGTCCTGGGCAGAGATGCTGCGAGGCTGATGGCTAGGATCTGGGATGTTAATCTTTACCGAATATTCTAAGGAAATAAAGAAATTCTTGCTCGTGAATCGGATGCCAAATTAAACCCTAAGGTCTTATTGTTGGCTTGGGGTATATAATTAGAACCGCCCTTTGTTACGACTCGGACTCATTAGCTGGGGTGTTGATATTCTTGGATTCTGATCATTCTGATATAATCAATTAATCCGCTCGTTAATTCGGTCAGTTCTGGACATTCATGATCGGGGATCGCTTTGGTTCCCCTTTTCCTCGCTGATGGGATAGAGGTGACTCCTGTCTTTTGCAGTGGGTACATTTTCTTTCACGGTGCAAGGAGATCATCCGAGGCAGATATTCCAGCTTGAGTTCTGGTTAGAACGGAGAAAGGTAATCCGATCGGTTCAAGAGGTTCGCGCTAATCGCGAGATTGGAGTTTATACCGGTTACCCTCTTTCATCGTTGGCGTGGCGGGATGACTCTTGTCTTTCCCGATCCATTCCATCTTGTTTCACGGTTCTAAAACAAGTCCCATGAAAAAACGTCTCACGTCTCTGAATTAAAATTAAAATCCCAGCTTGACAATTTGTAATTTCACTATAAACTTGGGCACTCAAAGTGTAGGAGTTTAATGAATACTTTTAATACCGCACTGTGAAAACGTTTCTTTGAATGGTGCCACAGAAATGTGTCGTTAATTAAATGAATAATTATTTTACACGCTAAATAAGGTGGAATAAATCTGGCGCAATGTCCACATTTTAATATTGGAGCGAACCACAATATTTAACTGGTGTATTTAACACCGCACCAATGTGCTATATGACGAGGGGCAGCGTCGCTAACGTTGTCGGCTTCAGTACGCAAACCGTACATGATATAGAAAATATGTTCAAGCAAAAGTTACTCAGTTTACCGAGTTCTAGCTCGGGTTGGAAAGAATTTTCAAAAATGTCGAAAATTTCTTTGAAAAAAATTCGAGTTTCGAGAAACCGAGCCGGTCAGGTTATAACGCAGTCCCTGGCGGGCAGGTTTCGTCTGAACTAGTTTTTGCTATCTCGCGTGATTAACGAGTTATGCGCGAAAACGTGAAACGGTTGCAACAGCCGATACCTCAGCGAGATAACTGCCACCTTTCCCAGCTCTATCAGTCTGGTTTATCTTGCGAGGTGTCTAACGAGGAAACCTCGCGAGCTCGTGAATTCTGATCCCAACGAGATTCCGTGGAAATGTGGGGCACCGAGAACAATGCATGCCTGTAACGAGACGGGAAAGAAGGACGAAAGCCTAAAACAAAAATTGGGCAGAGAAGTCACTTCCTTGTTCAGATGAATTACTTGCGAAAGGAATTTTCTTCCAGTTTAATTTATCTCCTAAGAGTAGCATCCCAAACAATGGCTAATTGATGTTACACTCTTCGTCTGTAAACGTTTCTTCGACACCTCCCATCAGAAAACCTGGGTCTTTCTCGTCCGGCCATTTTTTCACCCTGTTAATGCCCTTAAAAAAATTCACGCTAATGTTGGAAATCTTCAACTTGATATGTCAATCGTATAATTGTAGGAAAATCAATTTTTTCATATATACATTGTTAAATAAATGGAGCTACTCGGTAGGAGTGCAGTGATTTAGTCAAGATATTGTAACTTTAAGAAAAATTGTGATAACGTTACTTAGGAAACGGCAAATTGAAGGTATAAGTTTAATGCAACGTATCGGAGTTAAACGTTCGCCATTTTGGTACTGTAGACTGTATTCCTTTGATTTTATTCCAATTTCGTACTTTCTGCCTTTTTTCTTTTCTGTACAAGATAAATAAATTAAACGTATGAGGTATTCGTTTAATGCAACGTATCGGAGTTAAACGTTCGCCATTTTGGTACCGGAAACTGTATTTCTCGGATTTTGTTCCAGTTTCTTTAATTCCGTTCAAGAGAATAGTTTCCGCGAAAGAAGAAATGCCTTTCTCGTCGTACTTTCTGCTTTTCTCTTTACCGAACAGGATAAATAAATTAAACGTATGGAGTTTAATGCAACGCGTCTGAGTTAAACGTTCGCCATTTTGGTACCAGGAACTGTGTTTCTCTGATTTTATTCCAGTTCCTCTAATTTCCTTCAAGGGAATAATTTCCTCGAAAGAAGAAATGCCTTTCTCGTCGTACTTTCTGCTTTTCTATTTTCCGAACAGGATACATTAATTAAACGTATGAAGTTTAATGCAACGTATCGGAGTTAAACGTTCGCCATTTTGTTACCAGGAACTGTGTTTCTTGGATTTTATTTCAGTTCCTCTAATTTCCTTCAAGCGAATAATTTCCTCGAAAGGAAAAATGCTTTTCTCGTCGTACTTTCTCATTTTTTGTTGGACAAGGTAAATGGATTAAACTGGGCGAAGATCACTGCGTAATCAGTAGACTTCCGAAACCTTAATTAAAGCGTGACGCTCGAGGGTATTGGGACTACCTGATTCTCTGTTTCTCGATAATTTACCGTTTTCTATTCTGAGGCCAGGCAACGAGACGTGGGGAATATGTATATATATATATCACGAGTCTTTGGAACTGTGGCTTCCTCGAATATCAATTTATCTCCCGGCAGGCAGTAAAATCGGAGTGGAAACGCGCCGAGGCGGACGTCTTCGACTTCCAGGTGACAAAGTCGAAGGTAAAATGGCTGACTATATTGGGGGTTGCTAAACCTCGCTGTCGAATGAGAATTCTCTGAACCTGGACTTTAAAGGGGGAAGTCATCCTCTGATGAGTTGTTACGTGTAAAAATGAGCATGTGCACTTGTGCATTGTATTGCAGGGCAGATTAAACTCACCTTGTATTAAGTACGTTTATAGGTTAGGTGAGATTAGGATATCTAAAATTCATATTTTATTAGATAATTATGTAGATTAAGTTAGGGTGGGATATTTCAAATTTACATTTCCTTACATAATGATGGTAATAGTAGTTTTTCATTGATTTCTAAGTGGTAGTATTGAAAGTAAAATGGCGGATCATATTGGGATTTACTAAATCTCACAAAGGATCTCACAGGATTCCCCGAATGGGAATTTTATACGAAACATAATAAATGCAGTCAATCGAATGACGTTTAATGACAAAATTTGTTCTTTTATGTGTTTTTATTTTATTTTATTTTTATTAAGCTCTTCCTGGAACACATTTGTTACAAATCGTTTCACATGATGAAATAATTGATTATCAAGCATAAGCATGTCCCGACATTGATTTTGAGGTAATAACATTGAAACTAAAATACACTATATTGGGATTTACTAAATCGCGCATGTTTTTAAACGTATTTGGCGCGAAACTCTCCCGAGTTTCCTGATCTGAAAAATTCGCCGGGATTCCCCGAATGGGAATTATATTCGACACATACTAAATGCAGTCAATCGAATGACGTTTAATGAAAAAATTTGTTCTTTTATGCATTTTTATTTTATTTTATTTTTATTAAGCTCCTCCCGCAACACATTTGTTACTAATCGTTTCACATGCAGAAACGATTGGTTACCGTAGGTACACAATACGCGCAAAGGCACATACGCAGATAAGTGGGATTCAATTGGTGCATGCTCCGGGAATAATGCACAAAGAACGAGTACATAACCGTGGGCGTATCGCGTCGGGTATATGACATGCACTTTTGTGGAAATCATTTTGTTCCGCCAGCACTCGGCAAGGTAAACATTAAGTGCCGACAAACGGCACACATACCCGTGGATTATTTTCAAAACACTTAATGACGGGATAAGCTTTCCTGAGAGCGACGGGGCATCGTTATTCGAGGAAACAATCTTTTAGATGTGATGTCCAACTAGTTGCGGACCGAGTTGAGTTTTATTCGAAGACAGAAGTAAATGAATTAGTTGCCAAGTGTGGTCGTTAAGTTAAGAGGCGGAGGGTGACGGCCGACGCTCAAGCTATGAAATATTCTACGTGGAGAGCTGCCAAATTTTTTCTTGGCACTGCTCCCTTCGGGAAATAACCATCCGAGGGAGGGGAGTCAAAAGGAAAGAGTCTCGGGCCTTTATTCAATCGACGTCCTACCCTGGGAAAAAAGGAATTAATTTATTTCCAGAGCCTAATTGGCCGGCTTTCATTAAAATACTTGCCTAGTAAGACGTATCTGGATCTCGGCGTGCCGAAGACATTGTTATGTAGTGTTCGAATATGCATTTGTAATATGACATGGAATCAATTAATTGCGTACGTACATACGTATATGGTATTTAAGGGGAGGTGAAAGTGGCATCCGAAAACTCAGTCGTTCATAAAACTTTTCTACGAAATGGGGGTCTCAAATCGTTCCATACTTTAAAACGTGAATATAGAGACCCTAAGGTAGGTCCTGAAACTCGGGAAATATCATTTTTTTATATACTGTTTTTAAAATACCTATAAACAAATTTCAATAGAATTGACATTTCATGAGTTTCAGGACCTTCCTTATAGTCTCCCTATTCACGTTCTAAAGTTTCAGACTATTCGGTAAATCGAGTTTGGAGAAAAGTTTTATAAACAAAACCTTTTGTTGAATTGAATGTGGCCTTCCTTCATGGGGAAAAAAAATTAAACATTAATTTTGTTATCGTCAATTGGGC